CGTTAGAATCTGGATCAAGAAAGGATATATAAGTGATAGAAATTTTTGAGAGATTTGAAATATATATATATATATATATAAAGTGAAAAAAAAAGGAAAAAAAAAAATCAAATACACCTCCATTTTCTGAACTTGAAGAAGCCCTAAAATGTCCCAGAAGTATGAAAAACAGAGACTATCTGCCAGATTGAGTGTCAGAGACAAATGTAGCAAAGTTGAAAGAGAGACAGAGAAAAAAAAAAGAGCCAATAAAAAGAGACAAGGGAAACAACAAAAAAGAGAGATAACCATGAAATCCATGTGGGCAAGTGCATTACACACACACACACACAATTAAAGTAGGCAAAAAATAAATAAACCTTCCACCAATGAAAACATGCCTAAATTATATTTTAACTTAATATAAAAACAATGACATACAAGAAAATAAAAAATTCAATTGCTAGTATTTCCTGACTAGTGGATGGAGCAATTGCTGGAGGGTCTGTCTACAAAAGTATAGAATCGGGATGCTAAAAATAGCATCAATCAGCTAAGTGACAAATTTTCTATTTTTACTAATTCTACATTATATATATATATATATATATATATATATATATGAGAGAGAGAAGGAAAAATGTCTACATAAGCATAGCTATGTCATGAAATTTGAAAAAAAGCAAACAGAGGTTTTAAATTTTTTATTCCATTAACATTTTGTTCTGTAAGAGCATCATCAGAACAAATGAAAAAAAATCTGAAAAGAAACACAGATAAAACTGATTTGATTTTTTACAGCTTATCAACCCTTTGTAGGTTATTTAAATCCAGAAAATGTTTATATTGTATTTTTTTTTTTTTTTAGATAATATTGGTTTAGTGAGGCAACTGTTGCTAATTAACCCATAGCTGGGGGGAGAATAGGTGGATTCATACCTAATAAGAATTTGATAAACAAAAGAAATTATAATGTGGATATAAAGTGGGGGACCAATTCTATATTACAGTCAAGATATAAACTGATCCCTCAGTTTGTGGTGACAGTAGTTTCTATACATTTACATTCCAGAGAATGTGTAGCTGATCAGTTTTGATTGACTGATTTGTTTTTTATGGCTTATCAACCCTTTGCAGTTTATTCAACAACAAAAAATATTTTTAGATTGTAAAAATTTTTTTTTTATTTTGAAGATAATCGTTTAGTGATAAAAGTCTTGCTAATTAACCCGTACCTGCATGAAGAAGGTGGATTCATACCTTTGAAAAATGTATTTGCACATAAGTAAATATAATGACCCTAATAGGAATTGGAACTCAGCTCTCCAATAAACAAGTCAATGTTTTTATCCATTACACCACCTGCACATGGTATTCCCAAGCAGTTACCAATCTAGGTGCTGACCAGGCTTGACATTGCTTAACTTCGGTGATCGTACAAGAACAAATGTTTCAATGTGATGCAACCATAAGCCCATGCAGGTAAAAGAAAATTGCAAGTGATTGCACATATGAAGAGAGCAGCATGTATGGAGACATATATATATATATATATATATATATATATATATATATATATATATATATATAAAAATACTAAAATCTGCAATTATGTGGTGCATTCATCCAGTGCATAATGATTTAAGTTAATCTGTTTTCAGTGAATAAGATTTAAAAATACAAGTTGTTTATACAGTAAGTATTTTTTATTTTAACTTTCTTCAAACAGATAAATTTTCTAATTAAAATATTAAAGACAGACACAAAGAGATCCCGCTTTGCTGTTTTCTTCAGTTGTTTGTAGAGTAATTATTTATATTCCAGCTTTCTTTAAAGAAACAATATTTTAAATATTTAAAAAATATTTTTTGGCATATTCAAAAAATGTTTTCAAGTGAATATGATTTTAAAATATTTTTTGGCATATTAAAAAAATATTTTTAATTTAATCCGATTTAAAGTTCAAGTTTATCCTGGAAGTTCTATTCCTATTAAATGCTGTAAAAAATCAGTAAGACATTAAACATGAACTTGTCAACCAGACCAATGATGACACAAATGAATTAAAATATACACTTGAATCATAATAACATAAACTTTCATTTCAATGGAATATTGAAATCAACTTCATTGTTTTATAACCTGAACTGCCAGTGACCCAACGAGTCACAGGTAGTCTAGTGTGTGTGTGTGTGTGTGTGTGTGTATAACATTTTTATTTATCTTTTAATAAGTTATGTAAGACTTCATGCAAAACAAAAAACAAAAAAAAAACACACAAACAAAATGAAAACATTATATCCCTGAAATAGCTAGGACCAGGGCTGGCACATACTACTCCATAACCCCACAACTAGGGGAAGCCTAAGCCTGATTGGAGACCTTAGGCAGTGCCTTTTGGTCCTTGCTATCTTACCAACATTTGCTTCTTTTTTTTTTTTATTTTGCCTACATTTATATACATTGCAAATGAAATTAGCACAACTACTAAAAGAGGAAAAAATTTTGCAGATTTTAATGTCATTCTGGGATTCTTTTTCATCCAAATCCATGGATTTGTTTTGCTCATGCTAAGTCTTGAAGAAAACAGTATAGAAAATTCACTGATTTTTTTTTATTGAATGTGTTAAAATTATTCAACTTTTTAAAAAGATCTCAAGTCAATATTAAACACTGTCACAAAACATTGATTTATTTTAAGATGGAATGATCTATTATGACATGTCTCTAATTTGTTTTAGATACATTGTATTTATTTTCAGTTTTTCTAGTTGAATTGTTCATTTATATTGTATGTAAGCCATTATTGTACATAATTAGGTTGCAATAAAATTTGTATTTTATATGAAAATTGAGATGTAGTAGAGAGGACCCTTGCACCAGCCCTGGCCTATTCGACTACTTCTTGGCAAAACATATTCCTTGCTATACACACAAACACACATACATATCCACATAAAGATAGTGATAAAATGTGATATATAAAATATTTACTTGCATATCTGGCTCTGGGCAAACACATCCCGAACTGAGGCTGGACTTTTTTCTTCTTTCCTTTCTGTGTTTTTTCCACATGTTTGGTTGTTTTTTTGTTTTTTTGTTAATTTTTATATCCCAATCCAAATTGTTAATTCCATCAATAGGCAGGGAGTGTTCAGTATTTTTCTCTTTCCATTATTCATAATCCTTCCTTGTGATAATACGTGTATCATTTTCCCCCCCTCAGTTGTACATCTATTTCCTTTTCATATATATATATATATATATATATGTGTGTGTGTGTGTGTGTGTGTGTGTGTGTGTAAGTGTTATCTGGTTTATATAAATATCAAACCTGGACTAAGCATTTTCTGATGCACATAATAAAAATCTATTAATTTTAATATTGTTATTCCAGTTCATTTTAAATTTAAAAAATACATGACCTATATATATATATATATATATACATGCACACATACAAATATGTATGTATCTGTGTATATATATATTTGATGTTATGTAATATTTTCTAAGCCATTTGCTTAACACGTGTTTAACAGTGGCTGAAGCTGTCACAAAAGTTATCAAAAACTTCTTTCTCTTTCTGAATTGCCTTCCAATATGTGTGTGTGTGTGTGTGTGTGTGTGTGTATATATATATATATATATATATATATATATATGATTAATACAAACGAAATTTCTCACTTAGCTGTTTTGTAGACAAACTTTCTTAACTATTTCGTTCCCTCATCAGGTTTCCATGATTAAGTACAATTTTTTATATATATATATATATATATATATATATATATATAAAGTGGAGCTGTTTGTTTCTAAATTTGGTTCCTTTTATCTTGCGTTCATTGCTTTGTACTGTCAGTTAACCATAGGTAAAATTATTTGAAAATTTTTGATTGAAAATGTCAAATATTTTTTATCATCTCATGCCAATACTGGTAAGAACTGAGCACCCATTTCATTCCTTGTTCGTTTTTTATGAAGGCTCAATTTTTCTCAAGTGTTACGTGCTAAAATTCCATCAGATTTTTAAATTAAATGTGAAACCAGTTTCCTTTTAAAGTTGGCTTATTTCATTGCAGAATTCCATTGTGACAGAATCTCTATAACCTGATATGATTTTAGTCTAAGTTGCCAAACATTTGTATCCCAATGTGTTGCGATGAATATTTCTAGTCTTCACTTTAGTATATATTGCAGAAGTTTTGGGAAAACAGTCTTTGAGATTCCAGCGGATGGTAACAAAAGAAATAAGCATTTTGAGTTGAAGGAGATTTTAGAAAATATTTTGCTCACAAAAAAAAAAAAAAAAAAAAAAAAAGTTTAATTTTTCAAAGAATTTTTACAGAATACTTGACCCTGCCAAATCATCAAGTTTTTTTAATATTATCTGCATGTAAATTAAAATCATTCACAATTACAAAAAAAATTGTTAATTTTGTTTTCTGTGTGTGTGTGTGTGTGTGTGTGTGTATACTATTAAAAATGTATATGTATTTTTGATTTTCTGTCTTTTTCTTTTATTTCATTGTATCAATTCCAACTTTAAATTGCTTGCAATTCCTTCCAGGACCCAAATAAAAAAATGCATTCAATATAGGATTTGATAGCTTTGCTTACCGCCCGGTTCACACCCTTCCAAGTCTTTTGAACAGGAGTAAAGGTTTATCCCTTTTTCCTATTTAGGACTGGGTTTACAGTTGCCTCTAAAGTCTTTTCATTCTGTTTCACTCCCTGTATATCTTTGAAACTTAGTGGCATTATCACCTTGCTTGGAGTGAATTAATTAAAAATACATTATATATATATATATATATATATATATATATATATAGTAATTAACTCCGGTTTGAGGAAAATGTAGAAGGCTTTTATGAGGATAATTAATATTCACTTCTTAAGTTCATCCGTCCTCAAAATAGGAGATATATGCTGAGCAGTGGTAAGTTGAAAATTACCACTAGTATATATATATATATATATATATATATATATATATATATTTTTTTCCCATTTAGTTAACCAATATCAGTTGCAGTGGAAGGGAAGGCTGTTCTTTCCTTTAGCATTAAATTAAGCCAAACTACAAAAGCTAACGAGAGAAATGATCGTGGTTCCAACTGAAAAGGAGGAGAAGCGATAAAGAGAGGCTAAGAGAAACAGAAACAAAATCTCCAGGTTTTGGTTATATTGACAGATATGTTCTTGGCCTCTGCTTTATCCGTTGAGAAGAATCATTACAGCTGTAGTTTTATATATATATATATATATATATATATATATATTTAGGTAGGGGTGAGGTTGATGAGGGAAGGTAGAAAACGTTTTCCATATACTGGTTTCCCCTCTTTTTCCTCTTCTTCATCTACATTGCCAATATTGGTTTTTTGTTTAAAAAGCACACATGTTTGTGCTAGTGCCAAGTATACAGCCTCTCTACATATTGTTGGTAATGTTGAAATAGTGATGATAGTATTTGCTTGGTATCTGGTACTACAGTGTAAGTACAAGAGGAAAACTACAAAACGAAAACCAAATGAATATAGAGAATTTTTTTTTGTCGCTTCTTTTAAATAGCACACATTTCTTTTGTGCTGCTAACTTTTATTCTTCCCTCTTTTTCTTGTGTATTTTTTTTCGTCATTTACCAAATTCAATGATTTGGAATTAAGAGCTAAGAAATTGCCCCAGGTAAGATTTGAACACACACACATGCATCGACAGTAACTATCTTGCTTTTCAGTCTAGTCTGATCTTCAAAAATTTAAATGAAATGTCAATCATTATCTTTCGTCTTCTTAATTCACGTTCTTTTACTGTTCTATCTTCTCTGTGCTTTTTTTATATTATTCACACTCAGTCAACCCCAGCATCTTAGTGGCTTTGCTTGGGGTGAAATGATTAAAAAAAAAAATCTAGTTTAGCTCACGATGGATGTAAAGTTTAAAAATGATTGTAACAATTTTCCTTTCTTGTAGGGAAAATAAAAAAAACATTTTCTATTAAGTAACAAAAATAATATGAAAAATAAATCTGCAAAATAATAACTAATAAAAAAATAATAAGAAAAATAACTACAAATTAAGAATTATTTAAAATACCTCATGATTTAAAAAAATAAAATAAAATAAGAAAGTCAATCTATTGTGGAAATAGGAGCAAGTTTTTTTTTTAAGTCTTAGAAAGTTTTTGCTTAAAAAAGATAAAAATTAATCTCATCTTTTAAAACTTTTTATCTGTGTCCAACAGTGGAGACCTATTTTCCTGAAGAATTTTCTTTGAAGGATCAAGTTGATTCTTGTAAAAAGTAACTGAAAATAACTTTTTTCATACAACTTTCACTAATTGTATTCTTTGGTTGGATAATCATTTAATCTATGATTAAAGTCAGGTATTCTGTGTTATAAGCAACAATAATATTCTAAAAATTCTTCACAACTTTGTTTCTGGAATGAGAAGTATAGCTTTTCTAAAATTTACATTTATTTTCTTTACTTTTTTATCACTTAGCATTTTATTAGATTTTTTTTATTTATTAGATTTTTTTTTTCTATTTGTTATGAGTACAAAATCTAAGAAATCAATTCTTTTCCTTTTACAAAAAATGTTTTGTTAACTTACATAACAATTTTGGTAATTTTTCAAAGCAGAAGACCAGAATCTCTCCAAGAAAGAAACAGAAAAACATTTACTTTGCAGTTATTGGGGAAATTTTTTCCCCTCTATTTTAACAGTTGTATAGGAAATAATGCTTTCTACTGTTTAATTAAAAGAGTTTGAAAAAAAAAAAAAAAAAAGATGTTTAATAAAATATAACTTTTTGCTTGTGGCGATTGATAGCTACAATAAGAATGAAAATGTTTGAAGTTTGAGAGAGGGGTGTATGAGCAAGAGAGAGGGAAAAGAGAGCGAGAGGAAAAAGAGGAAGGAAGGGAGTGAGTGAGTGAGTGAATGAAAATGAGAATGAGGAAGTGAGAGATGATAGTGAAGTAGAGCAGTTAAAAAGAAGATAAGGAGACAGAAAAAAAGAGAAATGCAGGGATATAGAGAAGAACAGAAAGAAGGAAGGATGGAGAGAGACAGAGAGAGTGGTTGAGAGAGAGAGAGAGAGAGAGTGGTTCAGAGAGACAGAGAGAGTGGTTGAGAGAGAGAGAGTGGTTAAGAGAGAGAGAGAGTGGTTGAGAGAGACAGAGAGAGTGGTTGAGAGAGACAGAGAGAGTGGTTGAGAGAGACAGAGAGAGTGGTTGAGAGAGACAGAGAGAGTGGTTGAGAGAGACAGAGAGAGTGGTTGAGAGAGACGTTGAGTTGAGAGAGACAGAGAGAGGAGAGAAAGTCGTTGAGTTGAGAGAGAGAGAGAGGAGAGAGAGTCGTTGAGTTGAGAGAGACAGAGAGAGGAGAGAAAGTCGTTGAGTTGAGAGAGACAGAGAGAGGAGAGAAAGTCGTTGAGTTGAGAGAGACAGAGAGAGAGAGAAAGTCGTTGAGTTGAGAGAGAGACAGAAATAGAGAAAAGTCGTTGAGTTGAGAGAGAGACAGAGAGAGGAGAGAAAGTCGTTGAGTTGAGAGAGACAGAGAGAGGAGAGAAAGTCGTTGAGTTGAGAGAGAGACAGAAATAGAGAGAAAGTCGTTGAGTTGAGAGAGAGACAGAAATAGAGAGAAAGTCGTTGAGTTGAGAGAGACAGACAGAAACGGGAAGTGGAGAGAGAGAGAAAGATACACTACTATGAATACAGACGAAAATTAAAATGACAGCCAAAGAGAGAAAGCCGAAAAGGCGCTGGATGAAAATAATTTATTTAAAACAATGAAAAAAAATTACGAAAGAATAAAAAATTCAATTCTTCTCTTCGAATAAAAACTCTAACAAAGAATTCATCAGTAACAATCGTTTCAAACAGATTTCAGTTTCACCTATAATTTACTTTCGTCTGGGATAAGAGACGAAACTCTTGACTCAGCTATATAAAAAAAAAGACCATCTTGGGCAAGAAAGAGAAGAAAAGATAAGATAATGATTAGGTGTTAAAATAAATGAATGAACAAGTCAAAGTGAATGAATGAATAAATTGTAACCAAGTCCGATAACTCTGTCCATCATAAAACCTAACCTCAGTCAGAACGAGGAGTGAGGAGAAAGACAAGTTGAAAATTAAAGATTCCGTTTAAGGAAAAAATTCCTTTGAAAAGGAACAAGTATAAAAGAAAAATCTTTAATTTTTTTGTTGAAAGGTCCCAATTTTTCAAATGCTGTATTATTAACAATTATAGAACGTCGTTTAATTTTGAATTACCAACTATTAATTTGGACCTTAATTGCAAACTCACTTCTTTGAATGAAAAAATGATAAAATCTTTAACAACAGGAGTCTTCAATTTAAAAAGAAATGAAAAGGGAAATTCAAAAATACAAAAAAGTATCTTTCAAAATTATTTTGTTGTATTTAACTTTACATCCGAAATCAGTATGAATTAGCTATTTTAAATGCTTATTTTAAAAACTGGTTATACTTTGAGAAAATAATTTAAGTTATTTAAAAAAAAAAAAAAAAGGAAAAGTTCAATCGTAAAAATATTTTAATAATATTACCAAGTTTTTTCAGATTTTGTAGTAAGGTAAGTAAGCTTCAGAACAGAATTTATATTTAAAAAAAAAAAAATAAAATCCATTTAAAAACTTTAAAAATTATTCGCCCATATCCAATATTCCTGGTATTTGATTTTGGAATTCATTTTTTAAAACCCTAAATAAATGCAAAGAATTCTCGCATTTATCACAATTTGTGCTTTATTAACACTGACAGTATTAAATAACAACTGTGTGTGTACTATGGCCTAAAAAAAATTGTATGTCTGGCTTGACTCCTGATTAAAAATGATTTATCAGATGAGCCACCACCAACTTTTTTCTTGCCACCTTGTGTAAATACGCACATAACCCTTAAAATTTATGGTTTTTTAACGTGTTAAAGACTTCACACATAGTTGGGAAACATTTGATCTCAAAGAAAATTAATCTTCAATATAATCAAACCAACGTCTTTACAGGACGAACTACATACCTACCCCTCGACTGGTCATGTGGTAGTGATTAGTTGTAGTAATGACGATTTTACAAAGAATGTAGGTAGAGTGAAGGACTGAACAGATTTTACTTGTTCCTTTTATGAGAGGAATTGCAAATAATACGTTTGGGGCCTGGCAGGTGAGCACAACAAGGGGAAAATAAATTATCTAAGTAGTCTTTTCTTTTTTTCTTTTTTTTTTTACCAACTGATCAAAAAAAAAAAAAAAAAAAAAAAAGTAAGTCCGTTCGGTTCTCCCTTCAGTAATTCTTCCTCTTGCAAACTCAGCTATTTTCTAAAAATTAAAAAAAATTTAAACGCAAAATATATAAATATATCTAGGACGGTATAATTTACAAAGGCAGTTTTTTTTTTTTTTTTTTTATAAAAATATTGTAAACTAAAACCTCAACTACTAGAAATAAAACACGAACAGAAAATAGAAGAGAGGGGAGTAGAAGATGAGGAGTTTTCAAACTGTTGAATACTAGAATATAGAACTGATACTGCCAATTGAAAACTACTGAGGAACAGTCATTTGGGGATTTATTTCCTAAAAGTGAAAATCAGTAGCAATATGTTTTTCTGGGCCTCCCCAGACTCCCGATTTGAGATGCTGAGGTGGAGAAGAAAGAGAGGGTGTAATTGCTACCACTGGGGTGGTGCGTGATCAAGATAGAAAATAACACTGCCTATAAACACATAAAAATGTGTGTGAGATGTGCGTGTATGAGTGTACTAAAAACATGTAATATCCTCAGTAAACGATAATGACGAACAGATTTTTAAGAAGTAAATGCGTCGAGATTATAATGTAAAAAAAAAAAAAAAAAAACTGTAACGGATAATTAAAATAGCATGTACAATCAAAAATTAATTAGCATCATGATTGATTGAGATTGAAAATGTAAGTAAGTTTTTAAACTGGAATAATTTTTAATTTTATTTTACATGTTTTTTTTCTTTCTTTCTCTTGGTTTTGTCGAACAACTTCACTTTGAACCCAATTAATTAGACAAAAAATAATAATACGGTATTTTGGGGATTTGTTTTACTTTTATTTTTTTATTTTAAGGGTTTACGAAGGAAAAACAAACTAAAACTGAGTTGCCCTTTTCTCAAGAGTTGTTCAAACTCAACGTCTGAACATGAGAAAAAGAATAGTGATGGTTTTCAAACTTTATTTTAAATTTAAAAAAAAAAAAAAAAATTAATGAATTTGAAATTTGACAAAAAAAAAAAAAACCTAAAAAAATGTTTTTACTATGCAGTTGTAATAGAATAGCAACGACTCTCTAAGTATAAGGCTTTAAGCTTTACTTTTATTTGGGTTGACTAATTCAATTTTAGCGCTGAAAACGTTTATTTACTAGTGGATGTTTACAAGCGAGAGAGGAGATGGGATGTGCTTATTTTATTAGTGGATGGTTACAAGCGAGAGGGGAGATGGGATGTGCTTATTTTATTACCACAAATAAGTCTTTTTTTTACGTTTATATTATTTCGAGTTTTATAAACACAGGTTATTTAACTTTCTAGGGGAAAGGATTTTCCCTCACCTTTTCTTTTTTACACTCCTCGAAGGATATTTACGTCTGGGGTTTGTTATTGTTTTTATAAAACAAGTGCCACAAATCAATTTTTCTGAGGCTACACTTTGGTTGGAACTTTATGATCTATATTGCTGCTTTTTTAAAAATTTTAACTTTGAAGAACGTATTGTCGCAGCTTGTTTTCAACGATGCTAATCGAAAACAATTTCTTGGTGATTAAGATTTCCTGATGTCTGCGGATGTACCAGAAAGAAGGATATCTTTATTTAGATCCCAAAATGAAACCTAACCTTGTTTCACTAGTTGAACTTTTTTTTTAATTTTAAAGATAAATGTTCGAAAATTCTTTTAATAAAAAATAAATTAGCAACATTTTAAAATTTAGCAATACTCATCAAAGTACAAATTATAATTTTCTAAGTAAGAGTTGTAAAAAAAATGGGTAAGATAAAAAACGATAAAGTACTTTAATTTTTTTTTATAGCTAGAGAAACTAGAAAGAAATTTAAAAATTCAATTTTTTTTTTTTTTTAAAGAAATATAGTCAAGTTTTATTTTTAATTTTAATGCATATTTTTTTTTTTTTGCAGGTCTTAAAATCAAATTAAAATACAATTCTGGTTTTGGGATATTCTAAAAATTTAAACAATGTTTAAATAAAAATTAGTCTATATTTTAAAAGATTGTCACTTGAATTTTCTTGCTAAATTAAAGAAAATTATTAAAAGTAAGATCAAGATATTTTGTAAAGAAAAAATTTAAAATGCCATGGATTTTTTAAAATACCTATTTGACAAACAACTCAGTTGAAATTTTTCTTTAACAGCTTTCATTATTTGTAGACTTTTACAAATAATTACCTATTTCGGAAAAGATTATGATTTATTGTTTATTTTTATGGGACTGCAAAGACCATTGGCATTAAAATGCTCTCGAGCCACATATACTGGAAATAAAATAAAACCCTAACGGACCGAAATCTAATAATGAAAAATATGCTTTTTCTCTAAGAAAATCGAATTCAAATTGCTACAAAAAATATTAAATTAAATAAGAAAATATTTCAACACAAAGCTGAAAATGGGTGGAATTTGTAATCTTGTTTATATTCCAGAAAAAAAATAGTTAAATTATTAAATATAGAAATTTTATCTGAGAATTTATAATTTAATAATTAGATAATTTCTGAATTAAAAAACAAACTGTAATAATGTCTTCATATTTAAACTAAAACAATAATAGAATAAAAAAATTAAAAATGCTTACTGACATGAACTTGCAAAATCCAAGAAAAATAGTATTTTAAATATTTTTCAGACAGTTTCAAAATAAATGATTAAAAAAGAATTCTTTAAAGTCAAAACTTTATTATTTTTTTGTTTTATTATTTGTTGATTAAAAATGCAAAGTCTTTAAAATTTACAAATTCTTCCACTTTAAATCTACTAGCTTTCTAATTAAGTCTATAGATTTTTTTTCTTTAGCTAATTTAAATTATTTGAAAAAAAATCCTTGTTTTCAATTGATGATAGAGAAAGAAAAGGTATTTTTGCATAGGCACCAACTGATACAGAGAAAAAAATATTTCAGTATGTCCAGCATTTTTTCTGTTTATTAAAGGGAAATTATTAGATAAAAGAAATTTTATTAGAGTTCTAGCTAATTATTTTGAAATTCTTATGGACAACTGACGACTATGAAAACCATATGCAGAGATACCAATTGAAAGAACAATTAAATCTATCAAGTATTTTTTTTCTTTCAAAGCCTAGAATTATTTAAATAAGTAAAAAAACTGATATTTCAATCAAACTCTTCATTCAAGACCTTGATTGACTTTATTTCAATTATATTGAAAAAAAAAAAAGTTTATTTTTCCACATTTCACACGAGGCACCTGGGGCAGGGAATCAGTACTTGCTTCTTTTTTTTTTCGCTTTTTACTTTAAATTAAAAAAAAAAAAAAAGGTGCGATTAAACAGAAATCTTTTTTCTTTTGACAAGTTTATATTCAAAATGTAATATTTAATTTTTTTGAAGCATGCTGTTATGTTGGCTGATTGATTATTTGTAATACATTTTTTTTTTATATTTGCAAAAAAAGGAAAATTAATTTCTTTATGATTTTACAAAAAAAAAAAAAAAAAAAAATCACAAAGTAGTAAGCAAACGAATAAAAAAAGAGACACAAAGAAGGTGGGGGGCTTTTCTAACCGACGCGTTTCATTCTTTAAGAGACTTTCAAGGCAATCAAATTTTTAAAAATTTCTTGCATCAGGTTAAATAAAATTAAATATAGACAAGAAATCAAAGAGACTTCTCACGATTAAACTTTTATCGGTATAAGCAAGTCGGATCTAACGACGGTTTCTCCTGCCAAGGAGGACTCAGGTTCGAATCCTGCCGGAGAGTGCATATTTTCATTAATAAAAATTTCTTGAATATTCAGGCCGGTAGGAGAAAATAAATAATATATAAATAAATATAGTGTTTAGTTTAGTTTAAGAAATAAACAGACGTCTACTCAAATATGGGAATCCACTAAAAATTAACTTTTCGGTTTAATAAAATTACTATAATTTTTACTCAATATAAGACTTAAGAGTCGCTCAATGTAGAGGATAACAGTTAAAAAGCTTTCGTTATCAAAATTTTCTACTGTACTTTTTTCATTGAAAACCGAGAAAAATCAGTAAAATAAAGCGATATTGTAAGTTAACAATTCCTTCAAGTGCAGTCAGTTTTCGTTTTTGTTGCATAAGACTAGAGAGTCAAATCTCAGATTTGTGCGATTTCATTAAAAAATATAAAAAACAAAATCTCAAATTATCCAACATTAAAAAAAAAAAAAAAAAAAAATCTATATTTTTCAGAAGGTTACATCTGCACATAAAAATGCAAAATTAGTTGCATTAAGTAAATCTACGTGAACGTGCGTGTGTGCATTTTTAGATGAAGGAAACAAACTTTTCAAGATTTGACATACCTTCATCAGAAGGATTTTTTTTTTTGCACTTTTCCTTTTGACAGTAAATTTTACTGAGTAAAACAATTAAAATGAACAATGTTAAGCTGTATTATTAATTTCTTCTAAATAAAGAGAAAAATGCTAAAAAATTATGCTTAATGGACCTTAATTCAGTATATTTAAGAAAATAAAATATATTTGTTAAAAAAAATATGGAAACTTTTTTTTTTGCATCCGATAAAAAAAACTGTATTCTTTTTTTATTTATCAATATCTTTTTAGATAAAACCGACGTTTCGAAATGTAATTTTTGCCCTCATCAGGAGAATTTTTTTTTTTTTTCTCTGACTGGAAAAAAGTAACAAGAATACTTTTAAAATGTCTTCACTTTCCGAGCTTCTAAACTATATAAATAATTAAAGAAAAACTTTTAAATTTTATATATATATATATCTTTACAAATTCTTAAGAAATGTACCAACACTTAAACGACAAAATTTAGCCACACAAGTTGACCCCAATTTTTCAAGAATGATATTTGTATTTATGTCTTCTCATAGTTCATTTAATCATAAATCTATTTAAGAAAAAAAAAAAGAAAATTTGTTTAAATTATACAACTAGTATCTGAAGGAAGTCAAAGGGTGCAACAGCTGAAATATGTTGATTTAAAAAACCAAGACGCGGTTAATAGTTCAAATAAAATTGAAATATTTTTAATAAAATTTTTCTCTTTGGAAAACAATGTTTTCCTTCTCTAACTGATCATAATTCTCTTTAATTATTTAAAAATCTATAATATATTTATTTTTAATCTCAGATCCTATCAAATAGCAATTAATTCTTTTTTGTTTTTTTTTTTAATTTAAAACATCCGAGGTAAAAACAAAATCCTTACTTAATAAAAAATTCTGATATAAATACAATCTTTTCTGTTTGATGCATACACACAATGAAAATTATTCTTCAGTAGCAGACTATCCACAAAAACAGATTTACATATATATTTTTGTGTACATGCGTGTGTATTTTGTTTCCTTTTATGAAATAGTCATTTCAAGATTACATAACGCCTTCATCACAATTTTTTCTTCTTATTTCCCTTTTAACCGAAAAAGCCAGTTATTTCTCTAATCCTCCGGATATAAGTTAAATAAAATGTATCCATTTATTTGTGTACACGCATAAGATTTAAATTATTAAATAAAAAAAAAACCTTCTTGTAAAATCTTTTTCCCCCCTCTCAATAAGCATACACAACTCACACATGTTCAATAAGTGAGTACGATTTTCTTTTCTTTCCAATGGCAAGAAAATATATAATCCAAAAAACGTTAATCCCAAAACTTTTTTATAAAGAAAAAAAGAGAATTTCTTTATAAATTATACTCCTGAAGATGTAGAATGAATCAGTTGAAACGTCGTAAATATCCACACGACAAAAGAATTCAATCGACTGAAAAGACTTTGATTGCTAATGACTTCTCAAAATTATAAGACAATATATTGGGGCGTGTAAGTACTATGGGAATGGTTTTTTAGTTAGTGGAAGAAGTTTGTCACATTTGGCCTTCATTTTTACTTTTTCGGGTTATGGACTGACTATTTAAAAGTGAAACTAAATTTTCCTTTTATTTATTTTTCTTATGAAGAAATAGTGAATAACTTTGATGGTCAACAGAATAATAAATGTATATTCCCCAGAAAATAATAAAGCCTTCAACAGGTGTGTATATTCAACATGCTATTTTTTCTTTGTAAATTTTTTTTTTTTCTTAGAATTTTTTACAAGGATCCTCATCAGCAAAAAAATGTAACCGCACGTAATTTAAATGGGTTTTTTTAAAAAGTGTAAGAAGTGACCTCTGCAGGGAGCTTTCTTTTGAGTTAATGAACAATTGAACATTATTCGCGCTTTGAACAAATTTGAGTTTTCGATTATCATCATCCAGTTGGCTGATGAAGAAGAAGCTAACTCTGCTTCCAAAATATATCCCACGTAAACACGAAATTCGTCGACGATGATGCCAACATCTTTGTAGGTTTCCTTTTTTTATTCCGTTTTTTATACATCATAATTGTTAAAGCCGTTTCTTGTTTTTTCTTTTTTTTGCTTTTAAATCCTTGTTTTTTTTTTCTCTCTCTCTTTCTTTTTCCTTGGGGAGTGCTGGTTAACGAGTTGGCTGGCACGAATCGGTTGCTGTCAAAGCAAGAGAGAAATACCGAAGTCGTTTGATTCCACAGAAAAGCGTACGCAATCGACGAGTCGAGAAAGCAGACTCTCTTTTTCACAGATTTATTGTCAACAAGTCCATGTGGTTTGCTCCACCCGCTCGCTTCCGGGGCCGACTCGTTCGGGGAAGCTGATTTCCGAGACACGGTCAGATGTGTGTGGGTCTTCGACAGGTTGGCGGCAGGAAGAGTAGGGTGTTCCTCTCCGCGTGTGTGCGGGTGTGCGCGCCCGCACGTGAAGGGAAAGAGAAATACAAGCGTGTTTAACAAGTGAGTTAGGTTACGACAACAAAAATGAAAGCAGCAAAATATATACTCCCACGAAAGCCTGATTGTGGACCCCAGGCAGTGCTTTTTGACCCTCGCTATATGATCAATATTTGTATTTATTTTTTTTTAACACCATTTATTACGTAAAGAAACTTAGAGCACTACTGATGACGAATGATTTAAAAAACTTATTAAAACTTAAAAAGTAAAAAAAAAATAAGGATGAAAATTTTTTCCAAATTTTGACTTTATTTTGAGGTCTTTTTTTTTCTCGTCCAAATTCGTGAATTTGTTTTTGGCTCATTTTAAGTCCCGAAAAAACACTATAAAAAAAAATAAAAAATAAAAACAAAGTCACCATTTTTTTATCCAAAATAAATGTTGAATTTTTTATTCAACTTTAAGAAATTTTTTTAAAAATTGCCGCAAAACATGATTGATTTTTAAAGTAATATGGAATGATACATTTGACGCGTTTTTAATTAATAAATTTGTATTTTTAGACAATACATTATCTATTTATTTTCAATTTTTCAACTTGAATTGTTCACCTATTGCATGTGAGCCAATGTACGTACAATAAAATTTGTATTTTTAGCTTATGAAAATTGAGATGTAGTAGTGTGGGGAGAGGTATCATAAATGGGGGGACACGAGCTACCAGCACTGACCCTGCCTTCCTATCCATTGGTTTTTAAAAAATAAAATAAAAAATAACGTACATACATTTATTAGAAGATTAAAGTGTAGTACCTGTTCTGATATAGTGAGACTGGACAGAGATTTTAAAACAAAGAGAGAGAGAAAATTGGTGGTTGGGGTAGGGGGTAGACTCGAGGGTGGAGGAGATGTGTGTGTGTGTGTGTGTGTGTGTACGCGAATGCCGACATGCACACACGAGAGCTTCGCCAGAGAGTCATGATGAGCAAGGTAGTTTTGCAGACTTATTCCTAGTTCAATCCTCACAAAGTCCTCCATATTCGCGACCTTGTGCCATAAGTCAAAACCTGAGTACCTCGCAAAAAGCGTTAGCAAACCGACCTTGCAGATCATAAGTTCGATCCTAAATCTGTGGCCCTGTACCAGACTAACAAGCTAACTCTCAGTGAGTATCTACCCACACTCTTCTCTTCCTTGTCTGTATCTCTTCTTCAAGATATCGACAGTCATGGCTCTCTACAACTTCCTATCTTATCTCGACATAATAAAAAAATAATCTTTATGTGCCTTCTCCCTTCAGGATGTTGGCGATCATGGCTCTCTCCACAATTTATGCTACTATTTAGCAGGGCCGTAGCAGAGACAAATGGGGGGGGGGGGTAAAGATGTGAGGCAAAAAATTAAGAATTTTGCCTTCAGTTATAAAAAGCCACCAACATGGTTAGCGGCTTAAACATAAAATTCCAAGTATCTCCTTGCTTTGATAGTTTTTTTTTCTTTCTTTTTTTTTTATTCATTTTGCTGAAATAAAGTAAAACCCTCTAACAAAAATACTACAATTGGTAAAAAAAAAATGGAGGGAGGAAACAAGGCTGCTATGGCCCTGCAGAGAATGGGGTTCGTTCATTTTTAAGGTAAATATAGAAATTAGTGTCTTTTTCTTTCATGATGTGTGAACTTTTTTTTTTTTTAATGTCTTTTAGGAGTTTGTTTCATTGAAGAACAATATAAACCCGATTTTATTATCAACAAATTATTACTGCTACAACATCGAACAAAAGTGTAGAAATTCCAACCATTGTGTGATGGAGACGACTCAATCGTCTGACAGTCTTTTTAATGTATGTGTCGTCTGCATACGTCTACTTGTTTATATTAGGGAATAATGCATAGTAACTCCATTACGTGATGGCGTATATATACAATATAATGACACCAGTATTGTGTGTGTGTGTGTTTAACTGTTTGATTTGAACATGTGTGCAATTATGATCGCATGTTTCATCAAGTAGCGAATGGAGGTACACGTAAATCGAAAGATTTTCGACCCTTACCTAGCACCCCCCCCCAGGCTCGGGCTATAAAGAAAGAAAAAAAAAACGTACTTAAAGTCAAAAAAGGTTGGGAAATGTGAACATACAAGGGAGAGATGTTCAGAGCATC